TAAAAAAAACAAATACAAAAAAAAAAAAAAAAAAAAAAAAAAAAAGATCAAAATAATCAAATGAATGATCTCTTTCCTACTTTCATTTCCTCTAGCTTTTGACTTCAGACAGGCAAACATACTAAATCCTCGACGTCCACGAACAAGGAGAGGAACGCTTACCACAAGTTTGAGAGGCAGCTATGACGACCATGTGGGAGACGTCACGCGTTCCTTCACGGTCAATTGTGAGGTTCTCGTGTATCCCGTTTTAGGCTTTCTGGGCATAACAGGAAATGTCGTCACCGGGATAATCCTAAGACGCAGCGGACTGGATAAACCCCCGAACGTCCTGCTGCTGGCACTGGCAATTTCCAGCATCAGCTGCTTACTACCCACGGTCAACATCTTCTCTTTGCTGCGGAAATTCAACAAGATTGTACCGCATGGCTTTTATGCATGGGAATACGAGCCGGGCAAATCTGGGTTCGCTTATTTCTGTTTCCACGCGACGATAGTTATTTTATTTCAAAGCAGATATGGACTTCAAGTTACGTCATCAATTTGTGTGCTAATTACCCTGGAGAGGCTTGTTGTCATATTTTTTCCAATGAGAATTAAAAGCATCATCACGCTGAAGAGGACTGTTGCCGTGGTCATATTCGTGTATCTCCTCTGGCTGCCACATCTCGTAATGAGCATCAGAGCTTGTACACCTCTCGTGTTCTATTTCGACGACGTTGAGATATACGGACTGACGGGGTATTTTGAAGAAAACGATCTTTTGATTAACATTGGACAGGTTTCCGACTGGCTGTGCGGAATCATTCCCGTCACTGTTATCGTCCTCGGCACGGTCACGATGAGCGTGAAGCTGGGGTTCATCCTCAAGAACAGGAGGCGCCTGACTTCGTCTCTGAGGGGGACCCGCTCCCTGCGTCTCTCCAAAACGTTGATCGTCCTATGTGTTCTGTTCTGCCTCTGCCACACGCTCGAGTTCGTTTACCTGTTTAAGACGTTCCACTACAACGATAAACTTCTTATGGGCAACCTAGCACTGATGTTGGCTTACGTGGACAGCGCTAGTCACTTTCCTGTTTACATCTTTTTAAATAAAAACTTCAGGACAGTTATTGTTAAGATCATAAGATTCCGTCGGCAAATAGGAGATAATCAACATTGTGCTTAATACTTTTGTGTTCAACATTTCTATGTGCGCTTTGATCTGGCTTACAAACTTTAAAAAAAAATAAAATAAAACATGAACAAAAAAAATTAAGGACAAGTATTTGAAAACTAAAGATGTATTTTTCTTTATAGAGAAATAAAATTTGTTTACGGATACATTAAAAACAAAAACAATTGTGGAGTTCAATCAATTTAAACTATCCTTACGATTATGTCATGGCAGTGTGTCCTAACTGTGTTTTATGACAGTGCGGTATGGCTGTGTGTTATGGCAGCGTATTATGACAGTAATTTATGAAAGTGTGTTATGACAGTGTGTTAAGACAGTGTGTTATGGCAGTGTTTTATGACAGTGTGTTATGGCAGGTGTTATGACAGTGTGTTATGGAAAAGTATTATGACATTGTGTTATGAAAAGCGTGTTATGATAGTGTGTTATGACAGTGTGCCATGAGAGCGTGTTATGACCGTGTGCTATGACTGTACATAATTTTACCCCGTGGTCTCAGACTATTTTATAACTATCTCAGAAACAACCAGACACTGGAGTCCTTTAAAACCAATTTAAAGACACACCTATTTCGCAAACACCTTCTGGGATGATTGTCAACCTTATTTTCCAGTTAATGGATAATGGCTGTGTTGCTTGGGGTTCAAATGGCTAGAAAGACTTTGACATTGTATGCTAGTAATTAGTTTTTGTAGTGTTGCGTTTGTTTTAAATGTGGTAAATTATAGATTTGTATTTTGTTGACTTTGTACCGCGCTTCGAGCCTTTGGGGATGAAGCGTGTTTTTGAAATGAACTTTATTATTATTATTATTATTATTAAAAATTTTACTGAACATCATTCTCATTAGCATTAAGTTTCTCAAAATAATTATCCTAAAAATTTGAACATGCATTATGCAATTATTTCCTCGACCGATGTGAATCAAATTTTGAACTTCTGATCTCTGGAATAAACAGCTACAAAAAAAAAAACAACAAAACAACAAACGTAACCAACAGATTGCGAACTTCTGATCTATGGGGTAAGATCGGGTAGGGAAAAAATATTTTTGGTGAGAAATGAGCGAATTTGGTTGGGATGAATCGTCAAGACTGAACTGGTATGTCAACATTGATAGGGATGAAAGGAAACAGTTGTACAGATTGTAAATTACTGTTGTACAGATTGTAAGTTACTGTAGTCTAAATTTCTAAAATAATATCAGGGTGTATTTTAATTAACCCAACTCAACCTACTACAAGGTTAAGTTGGGTAGAGTTCATTTATCTGGGTTTTGTGTTACTGCCGTCGGCTACTACCTAGAGATAGTGTTCCTTTTCAGCCTTACAAAACATTAAAGTAAAAAAATAAATAAATTTAGCCTACAGTTTGATTAAGTCATTTGGTCGTCTAGTGACAATCTACAGCAGTAGTTTCAAGTTTTAGTCCAGATTTACATTAAAAAGAAAAACAACAACACACACAAATATGTACACACAAATGACAATTTAATATGGGTTGTACGCAGTTAGACGGGGTCCCTCTACAAACAAGTCAAGAACCTTCTTAACTGAAGGGAGAGGAAGCTTCCCATGGTAATAAACGGATCTTTGTTAGACAATGATGGATGGAGAAGTCGTAAAAAACAATAGATACATCATTTGCAAAGTACATGGTGTCAACTCCTACACGTCTTCTTGGATTGATTACATTCGTCAGTTCTTTCATACGTTGAAGCGTCGTACTATTCTAACTATCAATTAACAAACTCAACTCCTTTTCATAATAACTATAACTTTAATATCTAAGTAAATATTAAATACGTCATAAAGACAATGGCGGGAAGAGCGTTCACTAACTATAATAGTCAAGCGCGGGAAAAGCGTTCAACAACTAATGAACATAATATTGAGTCGCAACAATTCCTAATGAACGCTCATACTCAAAGAGAGGTCCGCTGGGACGAGCATATTAACAATGTGTGTAAACAAGCAAACAAGACCCTGGGGTTCTCAAGTCGTAATCTAAAGATTGTTAACTCCTGTGTGAAAGAAAGAGCATATAAAGCCTTTGTCCGTCCGGTTTTAGATTATGCATCTTCTGTCTGGGACCCATTTACCCAGAAGATCATTGGCATGTTGGAGGCGGTCCAGCGACGGGCAGCACGCATTGTCCAGAACCGCTTCAGGAATACCTCTTAGTGTTGGTAGCATGCTGGGAACACTAGGCTGGTCACCATTGGAGGAATGACGACGACAATCCAGGTACACTGTTCCCGTATTAAACAGAAACTCATAGACAGTGACGAGGCCCTGACAGGCAATTCCGGCAAGAAGCCAGTATAGGAACTGCTCATTCCTGCCCAAGAAAATCAGGGACTGGAACAAGATTTCAAAAGGAACAGTTGAGGCGAAAACACTAGACACATTTGCATCTATTGCCTTAGCTTTCCAACCCCAGTGCATGATTCCTTCACAAAGTAGCATTTGCAGTCAGTGAAATATCCTCATCAACACCAAACATAGAAACATTGCAAATACCCTCTACAAGCATAGGACCCAAAATGATCAATAAATTGATCGTGGGCCCTTAATACATAGAAGAATAAAAAGAATTGTTTTAAGACCTTTCCATGGTCAGATATATCAATTGATTAAAGACATATCCTTAGTCATATATATCAATTATTTGAAGAAACATTCATAGTCATATATCAATGATTTGAAGACCTATCCATAGTCAGAGATACCAATGGTTTAAAGACCTATCCAGATATTTCAATAGTTTGAAGACCTATCTGTTTGATATGTTGTGCTCACGCCCGCAAACGTTTTTGAATTATCACAACAATTTTAAAAAAAAATCCGTTTTGAGCCTGGGGCCCCATGTTCGTTTATTTCTAATTGGGCTATTATAAATATAATTTCAAACCGTTGTCTGTCCTTTAATAGTCATTTAATACCATTCATGGGATTGCGATAAAACTTTGCTGAGTTGTTATCCACAAGCCTTAGCATTTTTTCTAAGACATTACAATCCTTTGAAAATATTTCGCATTGGGCCGTTGGCCCTATTTTCTTTTTTTCCCCTATATGAGCTATGTAAAATTATTTCCGTATGCGCTCCTATACCATTTATCCGATTGCATAAAAACTTTGGTGAGGTTGTTGTGAGCACGCCCGCAACGGTTTCTCAATTATTACAACCATTTAAAAATATTCCGTTTTGAGCCAAGAGCCCTAAATTCGGGTTTTTCTTATATGAGATTTACAAATATGCAACGTATGTGGTCCTATGCCATTCATCCGCTTGCGATAAGACTTTGATGAATTGTTGTGATCAAGCCCGAAAAGGTTTCTGAATTCTTACAACCATTTTAAAATAATGTCATCTTAAGCCAGGGCCCTTGATTTGTGTATTCTTCTGTGAGATATATATATATATATATATATATATATATATATATATATATATATATATATATATATATATATATATATATATTATATATATATATATTATATATATATATATATATATATATATATATATATATACATACATATAATATATATATATATATAATTTTAAACAGTTAATGCATAGGTGGATAGAATTTTAATCATATAGAAATAGTGGCATTAAATTTTCTATGTTACATAATAAGTAGGTTTCTGAAGTATTACAACCATTCTACAATATTCAGTTTGTGGCCGGGGGCCGTCAATTCGTTTTCATCCTTATGTAAGCTATAAAAAAGATAATTTCCATATGCGTTCCTATACCATTCATCCGATTGCGTTGAAACTTTTGATGAATTGATATGGGCCCGCCCGCAAAGATTTCTAAATTAGTTGCAATTATTTTTGAAACAATCCATTTCGGGCGGCAGCCCTTATATATATTGTTCTTCTAATATGAGCTACATAAATATAATTTAAACAAAAATAAAAAAATAATGCAGTGGTGGATGGAATTTTAATCAAATACAAATAAGGACATTTCAATTTGTGTGTACATAATAAGTTTGTTTCTGAATTAGTATAACCATTTTATTTCGTTTTGGGTCAGGTGCCCTAAATTTCTTTTTTTATTATAATATGAGCTATAAAAATATATTTTTAAACAGAGCTAATGTGTGAATGGATGGATACTTAAACAAATTAAGAACAGCGATATTTCCGTTAGCGTGTGACATCAATTTTTAGGTTTCTATATTTGATACAAACATTTTGCAATAGTCAGTTTTGGACCATGGGGCCCTAAATTAGTTTTTATTTTGACATGAGCTATTTAAATTTAATTTCTGCATGGGTTACAATGACATTTATCTGATTGCTATAAAACTTTAGTGAATTGTTGTGTTCACGCCCGCAAAAGGTTTCTGAATAAGTACAACCCTTTTACCATATTCCGTTTGGGGCCGGTGGCCCTAAATTAGTTTTTTTCTGACATGAGCTATTTAAATTTAATTTCAAAAAGAGTTTATCGCATGGGTGGATGGAATTGAATCAAATAAAAACTATGACATTTCAGTTCTGCATGTGACATAATAAGTAGGTTTCGAAAATTAGTGCATCCATTTTACATTATTCCCTTTGGGACCGGGCCCCTAAATTTGTTTATATATACTAAATGAGTTAAATAAATATAACTCCGTACACAGCCACTGCATGGGTGGATCAATCGCTACAAGTGTGTGGACGAAATTTTGAAAATCCATGCTTCTCACATGGTCAGCTGTGTGTGGTCTGCTCACATGGTCAGCTGTGTGTGGCCTGCTCACATGGTCAGCTGTGTGTGGCCTGCTCACATGGTCAGCTGTGTGTGGCCTGCTCATATGGTCAGCTGTGTGTGGCCTGCTCACTTGGACAGCTGTGTGTGGCCTGCTCACTTGGACAGCTGTGTGTGGCCTGCTCATATGGTCAGCTGTGTGTGGCCTGCTT